GGGGGGGGGCGGGGGAGGGCGCAGCGCCCGCCTCCCCCGCAATGCAAATCAAATATAGATAGCGCTGGGCTGCTTCGTTTCTTGATTGGTGTAATTGGGTGTCAAAGCTCAAGGTGAAGGTCTTATCATCCAACTTTGTGGCAGTGTCAATGCAAAGAAGATAGTCAGCAGAAGCAAAAGCAAAGGCAGAAGCAAAAGGCAAAAGCAAAAGCAGAAGGAAAAGCAAAAGCAAAAGCAAAAAGCAAAAGCAAATGCAGAAGCAAAGGCCAAAAGCAAAAAGCAGAAGCAAAAAGCAGAAGCAAAAACAAAAACAAAAAGCAAAAGCAGTAGGGAAACAAACGCGAAACAAATTCCCGGAAAAAAAATAAACCTGAAAAACATTTCCGGAAAAATAGGGGTTCCTAACAAAAACATCACTAAGGAAGCTATATGTTATATATTATAAATATAATATATATTACCTCTACATCGGTCTCATCACCCGGTCCCATCCATTCAAACCTTGTCCCCCAAACGCGGCCACTGCCGGTCTCATCCTGCAGCATCCCCCCCGCGCCACCCGCGGCAGCCCGAGCCCGAGCCCGCGCCCTCGACGAGACCCACCAGGCCGACTGCCTGTCGCTCATAGAAGCACGTGCTTTGGAGCCCCGTAAACTCAAGGAGGAGCTCCTCATGTCATAGCGCAGCAGGGAACCCGACGTGGAACCCAAGCGGGGCGCTCAGAGACTCGAAGAAGCCTGAAAATCCCTCCAAATCCCAAAAAGCAAGGGTGGAAGGATAGAGATCCTGAGAGGATCTAGAAGCTGACATCTCCAGCTTCTTTCTGTTCTCCAAACGTGGGATTTCAGCTTTGAATGCCGACTGCTTTGGCACGCTAGGCCTCTTTGGCCACAAGATACCTAACTTCACAACTCTCTCACACACAGATCTGCCAGAATGCCTTTTAAACAAAACTTTTGGAGTGAATATGTCAAGGTCCCAAAGGCCCTAAATGTCTGCAATGTCCAACCTGGTCAGCAATTGGTGACATGGCAAATATCAGGATCGATCCATATCCATATCCATTCGCTCAGCGGCAAGCATTTCACCGGGACCACTCGGAGTACGAAATGCTATGTAAAAACATGTATAGAGAGCGTTGAATCTGGACTCAGAGCGTTGAATCTGGACTGAACCCCAAGCCGACTTTTTGTTGAATACCCCAAGCCCGCCCAAAGCCTCGGCTAAAACGATCGCATTCACAAAGCAAAGCCAAAACGCTCCAGCAAAAGCATCGTTCACACCGATCCTTTGAGCAAATTTACAAGGCTTATGTTGTTTTGTCCCTGACGGGACAACGCCACGAAAAAATGCCTGGGAAATCTGGGACATCTGGTAGTTCAATGTAACTCATGTCAAGGAAACCCCCATCGGCTGGGCCGAACTCCCCTCGAAGTCCAATCCCTTCGCCGAAGAAAGGCGACGACCCGTTCGCCGGTCTCACGCCGAAGGCTCTTCTTGCGCCCGGTCTCGTCGGCCGATCGGTCCTGACCACGGTTCGCGGTAGGGGCCGGGCATGTGAAACATGATCTGGGTGGTACTTTGATGTGCTTTGGATATGGACCCGGTGGACCCCAGTGGATGATGGGGCCTGGTTGCAGGCCAACCTCAAAAATCGTGATAATCCTTTACCGACTGCTAATGGGACACAGCCTAGTGGTACCATGTGCCCAAACAGTCCACTGCAGCGACGCATTCAGTACTCACTGGGAATGATCCCAACAAAGGTCAATTGATGATCATTGATGTGTGGAATAATTAGAATACCGTAATACCCATTGATGCTGTGCTGGGAATGTGTGGAATACCCATTGATGTGTGGATGATCATTGTGTAATATTGACATGCTCATTGATGATCTTGTGCGGAATGGACCCTTCCAATTGGCCTTTACGGAACCTCATTCGGAGGCACAAGGCCAAAGCAGGCTCATGCACACGGGGTCTGAGGGGCTCAGACCCCCCGCAGAACTGCTGAAAACATCGGCGGAGCCGTCAACCGGGCATCGCCCTGCTTTAAGGCCGAAAGATGTAAGGTCGTGTGGAACAAGTCATGTAATGGTCATAATCTAAGGCCACCTCCTTGGGGCCTTCGCAAGCCAAGTTTGTTGAGTCATTCAAGTCTAGCTTGAACGACAAGGACTCCAAAGCTCTCTATGTCAACTTCAGGTCTGAATGGTCTATACCAAAAGCCCCAAGGTTTGGTGGTACTAAATTGACATGTGTCTTTTGATATCTCTTGATTTCCCTTATAGTTGGTTTCGTCGCCTCAATAGGGTCTGCCCTTTGGTGACCCACCAAAGAGCCACAAGTGAACAGCCAGTCAACCTTTGGTTTGCGCAAAAAACACACACACACACATCGATCTGCATAGTTTCCAGCACGAAAAAACACCCTTGACATCCCTTGACATCATGTGGTTTGCACACTCCTCCAACCACGTCTTCACCCTCCTAGATCCCGACAAATTCGCCCTCCACGCGACGACCGAAGCGACGCCTGGATGAGTCCCGACATTCTCCGCGAGGCGGAGCCACGATTCCCCGTGGGCGCCGCCTTGAAATGCACCTTCTTCCATTCCTCGACCCACAGCGGAGAGGCCAGCGACGAACGTGTGCGAACGTGGCGTGAGGCGATGCACTCGACCGGATCCTGGACCGAAGGGGGAGTCGAGTGGAGGAGTGGATCCGGAGGCCACCGGCGCAATCCGGCGTGGCAGTGAAGTCTTCTTGCATTCAGTGATTTCCGGGGGAGGGTCAAGGTCTACAACCGAAGACAAAACTATAAAAAGAAAATGCCACCCTGGAGAGATTTTGGCCTAACTTCAGCCGGTTGAAACCGCGGAGATTGCTTCGAGGTCGCGAAGAAGAATGACATCGCAGTCGAATGAAGTTTAACCATTCTCGACCACTTGCTTGAATAAACTCAACGATCTTAAAGGGTCACAATGATTGCTATTCTGCTTCTGTTATTCTCCTATTTTCCTTTGCGTCTTCTCAAATGTCACTGAACACCCTTGCTTTGGAACATCGGAGACAAGTCTAGCCATCCCAAGACATGTTCTGCCCTCGCCATGCTGCCATGCAAGACGTGTCCAGGATCCATCCATCCTGAGTGGCCAGTTTCCACATCCAGGATCAACGTGGCCAAGGGGCGCAGAAGATGGATATTCAAAAAAAGCAAAACTATTTTTGGGCCAAACCATCCATTGGGTGAATAGTTTGAACATTTTTGAACAAAATATGGGAAGGCGGCAAAGAATGATCCTGGGAGATGCAACGCGGTGTGAGATGCAGTGTTTTTAATTACACGGCTTTTCGTATCACTGTGAAATGCTAATTGGGAGTAAATCAATCCACTCCCAGTTGTCAGTGAAAACCCACGGCTGACAACGGCC